TAACATTGTACAGGAGGCAGCAACAAAAACTATCTCAAAGAAAAGGAAATGCAAGAAAGCAAAGTGGCTGTCTAACGAGGCCTTAGAAATAGCAGAGAAGAGAAAGGAAACAAAATGCAAGGAAGTTAGGGAAAGTTACAGAAAATTGAATGCTGACTTCCAAAGAATAGCAAGGAGAGACAAGAGGGCCTTCTTAAATGAACAGTGCAAAGAAATAGAATAATTATTAGAAAGGGAAAAACCACAGATCTGTTCAGGAAAATTGGAGATATTAAAGGATAATTTTGTGCAAAGATGGATAAAGGACAAAAATGGGAGGGACCTAACAGAAGCAGAAGATATCAAGAAGAGGTGACAAGAATACACAAGGGAATTATACCAGAAAGATCTAGATATCCCGGACAACCCAGATAGTGTGGCTGGTGGCTTTGAGCCAGACATTCTGGAGAGTGAAGTCAAGTGGGCCTTAGAAAGCATGGCCAACAACAAGGCCAGTGGAGGTGATGGCATTTCAGTCAAACTGTTTAAAATCTTAAAAGATGACGCTGTTAAGGTGCCAAACTCCATATGCCAGCAAGTTTGGAAAACTCCACAGTGGCCAGAGGATTGGAAAAGATCAGTCTACATCCCAATCCCAAAGAAGGGCAGTGCCAAAGGATGCTCCAATTACCATCCAATTGTACTCATTTCACATGCGAGCAAGGCTATGCTCAAAATCCTACAAGGTAGGCTTCAGCAGTATCTGGACTGAGAACTCCCAGAAGTACAAGCTGGATTTTGAAGGGGCAGAGGTACTAGAGACCAAATTGCTAACATGCGCTGGATTATGGAGAAAGCCAGAGAGTTCCAGAAAAAACATCTACTTCTGCTTCATTGACTATGCAAAAGCCTTTGACTGTGTGGACCACAACAAACTATGGCAAGTTCTTAAAGAAATGGGGGTGCCTGATCACCTTATCTACCTCCTGAGAAATCTATATGTGGGACAGGAAGCAACAGCTAGGACTGGATATGGAACAACTGATTGGTTCAAAATCGGGAAAGGAGTACAACAAGGCTGTATATTGTCTCCTTGCTTATTTAACATATGCAGAATACATCATGCAAAAGGCTGGACTGGAGGAATCCCAAGCCAGAATTAAGATTGCTGGAAGAAATATCAACAACCTCAGATATGCATATGATTCCACTCTGATGGCAGAAAGTGAGGAGGAATTGAAGCACCTCTTAATGAGACTGAAAGAGGAGAGTGGGGGAAAATGGTCTGAAGCTCAACATTAAAAAAAAACTAAGATCATGGCCACTGATCTCATCACTTCCTGGCAAATAGAAGGGGAAGAGATGGAGGCAGTGACAGGTTTTACTTTCTTGGGCTCCATGATCACTGCAGATGATGACAGAAGCCACGAAATTAAAAGATGCCTGCTTCTTGGGAGGAAAGCAATGACAAACCTAGACAGCATCTTAAAAAGCAGAGACATCACCTTGCCGACAAAGGTCCGCATAGTCAAAGCTATGGTTTTTCCTGTAGCAATGAATGGAAGTGACAGCTGGACCATAAAGAACGCTGACTGCCGAAGTATTGATGCTTTTGAATTTTGGTACTGAGAGTACCCTGGACTCCAAAGAGAACAAGCCTATCCATTTTGAAGGAAATCAACCCTGAGTGCTCACTGGAAGGACAGATCCTGAAGCTGGGGCTCCAATACTTTGGCCATCTCATGAGAAGAGAAGACTCCCTGGAAAAGACCCTGATGATGGGAAAGTGTGAAGGCAAGAGGAGAAGGGGACATCAGAGGACGAGATGATTGGACAGTGTCACCGAAGCTACCAACATGAATTTGACTCAACTCCGGGAGGCAATGGAAGATAGGAGGGCCTGGCGTGCTCTGGTCCTTGGGGTCACGCAGAGTCAGACACAACTTAATGACTAAAGAACAACAAGATGCCACTCAATGGCCACAATCTCATTAATTGTGCATAAATTTCAGCAGTGAATTGCTGTCGCAACTTGTATTCTTCACCACATGACAAATTATACAACAGTTACCAACAGGAAGCACAATGACTCATACACTCTATTTTTCTGAGCTTCAAAATAACTGGTTAGGGAGATTCATACATTTACATATTTCCTCCTAACTGTACAGAGGACATTGGTTTCCAACTTACTCTGTTCACAGTGGTTCCCCATGAATCCAGTGCGGCAGGTACATTGCCCTGAGATGTGATCACAGTCAGCTCCATTCTGACATTGGCAGATCAGGGCACAGTCTTTTCCATAAAATCCCAAAGGACATCCTGTAGGAGAAGGAAAGAGAAAGAGGTAAAGTAACTTATATTGAATACTGTTGTTTCTAATCATATTCAGGATTTTATGGGAACAATGAAATGAAGTTCCAACATAAAAATTTCATGATCTAGACAGGATATGAAGCATCATATTATTTAAAATTGACTATGTAGGAGTTATACATCCTATTATTTAGAAAGTCTAACAAAATCTGTTACATTTCCAGAGTAATCCCATTTATCTTTATTCAGAAGTGTCACTAGCAGAGTGCTTTGTTATCAGCAAAAGTTATGCAAATAGTCTTCGTTTAGATTTTATGTATCACTGCCAGTACATTCTGCATTCAATTTCTTTTTGATCTCTCTGCCTATAAATCCACTTATAACAATGTGTACTGTATATATACACCTGAAATTCTGAATAACAGTCCAACCATATGATCATGCAAAGTAAATTTATAGTCTTCAAGATTCTTCAGACGCTTTGTTTTGTACATGGGTTATTGTCCCATGTAAGTATGTATAACTCTCTCATACAATGTCCAAGAGACTTTTAATGCAACTCATTAAGATTTTAAGCAGAGGGACATAGGGAAGACTTTTCAATAATCAACAGCACCTTCGGATGTATATTGTGCATACAGAGTCCAAAAGCACAAGAAGTAACATAACAAAACCATTTTTACTCAGCCCTGCACAAAATATATAAGCCTTGAGTACTGATGGTAGCAGCATAGAACAGCTAGATGGCTGCATGCAGGGATCTGCATGGGATCTGGCAATGGTGCGGCTAAAAAATATTGTAAATAAATAAAATAAAATAAATATACATCTTCATTTATCTCATTTTTACAGATGAGGACCTCTAGAATTATACTATGGGTGAGGTATTTTTTGTACTCCTGGTAAGAAGAAAATGAAGATGATACATTTTTTGTGCCAATTAAGCAAAGTTGTTTAACACTTTAATACAAACAACACATCTTGCAAGAAACAGCATTACTTGTTTTGTTGCATGAACATTTAAGGACTAGAAGCATCACAAAAGGTATCTGTGTCTGTTTCAACAACCAGACGTTGTCCTGTGCTTGCTCTGCATGTGTTTGCGTGTACACAGAAGTGTACATGCTTTTCTTCTCCACGGGAGAGGACTAAAATAGACACCTAGATGGGGGGAAAAAAGCACTTTTGGGCTCTCTTGCTAGAGATGACAAATCAGGGGACTGAAAATTTGCTTTGGCCGAAAAGTTCTCAATGAGGCACCTCATTAAGTCAAGACAGCCAGAACACAACATTTAGCTAGTGTTCTTTATAGCTTTGTTAGTATGTTTATTTTCCTAATGTTATAAAGTTCTACTCTTTGGAAAAGAAAAGCTACTATGCTCCTATTGTAACTATGGCTAGGGCGTTCTGTGGCTGACCTCCTTCTGAAGGTAAACAAACCTGGAAAATATCCTCATTCCTAATACAGTGAGAAGCTTTCTTCCATAATCAGCGATCAACCCAAAATCACACAGGAAGCCTTTGCTGAAAGGGATGAAAGATTGAGTACCTTTTTTTCATTATAGACATGTCATTTACATTCAGTCACCTTGGGTTCTTCTTAAGGAGAAAGGTGGGGTAAAAATAAAGAAACAAACAAACAAACAAACAAATTGCTGGGAGCACTCAAATACATGAGTCCTCCTTCTGACGAAATCTACATCAGGTTAAAAATTCAAATATACTCTTCTGACTTTTGGTAGGCATTCCCAAGCTATAATTTTCATATTGCTAGTTATCTTTACCTCTTATTTATTGATAAGCATAAGGGCAAACTCACTTTGTGTACAGTAGAGACCAGTCCATCCAGGTGTACATTTGCACTCCCCATCATAGGCACTACACCGAGCTCCGTTATGGCAATTGCAGGTATGAATACAATTTGGGCCCCAATGGGAAGGAGGACAAGCTGCAACAGTCCAAGTTAATTGTTTAGTCTTTTTAACAAAAGCACAGTGCAGTGGTGCTTTATGGATGAATGGCTGGCTGTTCCTAGAGGTACCAGGCCAAAGACACCATGCAGCTCTTCTGTCTTTCTTTCCTTAACATACTTTTTCAGGTAAGAAAAATGGAAGAAGCAAGTGGGGAAAATTGAGGGAGAGGGAATGGAAGGTCATGATATCTGGACCTCTCTTGCTGTCTGTAAAATTCTGGGAATGAGGCAGAGCAACTGCACACAAAAAAAGCTTCACGTAAAGGCACACTGTTCCTACAGGTTTGATGAATCTTAATCAAATAAATGAGATGATGTGATATAAATAGGAGGATGAAGTTACAAATCTTTTAGTTAGTGAGGACCAATGCAGATTTAAAATGAGCACTAGGTGAAGTACAGGAGCTAGAGTTAAACAGACATAAGATGTAAAACCAGATCCAGAAAAACTGCCCAAATGAATGTGTCCTAAGGATGAATGTGGAGTTACTCTCCCTCTTGCACAACGCCAAGCGAGATGGAAACATATTTTGTAATTCCCAGACTGTGTGGACTCTGATCAATTTCCAGACCCAGTTATCTGAAGTGGTCCACTGACCAATGCCCTCTGGGGTAAATCACAGTGACCATTGTGGCAATGGACTCTCTTGCTTGCTACAACCTATGAAACATGCCATAGCTGGTCTCACTACACAAAACTGTAAACTCAATACAACACCACGAGAAAGAATTGTTATCTCAATCTACAGGCCTACTGAAATCACACTACTGAAATTCATTTTCGTCAATGCAGAAAAGCTTTCATGAGAACCTACTAATGAGGTTTGGATCACAGCTCTTGCCTCAGGATTAATTTCTGTTTTCATCAGCCCACAAATCAATAACTCTTTCCATGTCATAGTTCATTATTTATGGAACAGTACAGTAAACAATCATTAAAGACATGCTTTCAGATTTGTTTGGGACAATTTTAGGAACTAATAAAAAAAATTTAGCAAAAAAAGTGTTAAGTCGACGTATAATCCCCCCGATTATCCTATTATATTTATTATTTATAACTAAGATATGGGGTGGCGTGAAAGTCAGTGGTTTACACAGATAAAGAACTGTCAAGTCATGAACACAGAAATCTTTAAGAAGGTTCATGGAGGTCACATTGAAGACATTTTAAAGTAATGTGATCACATCTTTCTACAACAACTAAAGACCTCTACACAAGTCAAAAATGCTTCCCCTTTCCTGGTCTAAAGGTCAGACTTAGTAGATAGTTTAACTTGACTGTTAATTTTAAAAAATGCCCTACAACAGTTGTTCATTATGAGGATGTAATAGAACAAGAACCATTATCCAACACTAAATTTTACTGATGAATTCTGAAATCACAAAGACATAAAATCCCAAAACATTAATTTAAGAGAATAAGCATTAAAAATAATACTTTTTCAAAATAATTAACAACATTATTTTCATACAACTGTTATTTATTTGGCATCTTGTCTCAAATTGAACCCACTGTTCTGTATCAAATAAAGATGAATGCTGAACCCATCAAATTTAGAATTTTCTGAATGTACCAGATGTTGTGTAGCAGTGGGATACAGAAACCTTCTCTGTATTTGTGAAATCAGGAATGATGTGAACAAATGAGGCATATTAAAAGGAGTGCAGTGTCTTAGAACAGTTTTTTACACTCTTAATTCTCACATACTCTGAAATGCAACTTTGGGTACATCAGTATCATGTAAATACTGATTGAGACCAATCTATTAGAAATGTGCAGCTAGTTCTGCTATGTCTAATACTTCCCAAGTACTTATTTAATTCCATTGGCTACTAATTCAAGCAGACTTAATTAAACCAAAGTTGGAAGTCAGTATGGTGCTCAGCCACCCTGCCATTTAAGTTTTTCAATGAGACAAGACTGAGTTCACCTTCTTTAGAATAATGAACCAGAAAGCAAAGAAATATAGATAACTTTAAGGGATTATGTCAGAATGGCTGAAATTCTGTTGCCCAGTTATGCAAATAGTGCAATGTTAGATGCAAATTGCTGTATGTTAAGACATATCTGTAGACCTTGCGTGTTGTGGAACTCATTATGCAACAAATAATGTCTATGGAGATTTCTTAACTTATGGCAATTTGTCTCTAAAAGTTATATTTTAACTGTGCAACAGGATTGCTTAACTGTGCAACAGGATTTCAGCCTGTGTTTCAGAGGCTAGAAACACTACTTTTCAGATTATAATTTTGAGAATTCCCAAGGTAGCACAGCCAGGGGATTCTGAGAGTTGCAATCTAAAAATATAGTATTCCAAGTTCTGCTAAAAGTAGTTGAAAGACATCTATGAGACTATCATTGTGTGAATACATGGGCAAGAAGCTTTCAAAAATCTAATCTGTGCAGCAGGTTCACTTTTTAAATATCACTGTGCAACTACACAGTAAATATATCAGTACAACCTTGTATCAAAAACATAATGTTCACAAATGTCTAAAAGTGAAATCTGGAAAGCATTTATTTGTACACTAAAAATTGATTGACACTTATGCTGCAATTCAATGTTTTGTTTATGGAAAATGCATAAATGAATGCACTTAAAACATGAATTTCCCATAAGTAAATTTCCAATACAATTCAGAAGGTATATTGGAAAAGTAAATTTCCAGTGCAAAATCTCTATAGCAAATATCTGATGCAGTATTTGAAATGTGAGCTCTATGTATTCTTTTACTGATTTTAGGCTATTTAAAAAGTATGTCCTCAGTGTCAAGGAGAAGACTGAGCAAAGCCAAATTGTGATTAGTCAATTTAACAACATTTCTGACCAAAGAAAATATTTGTACTTACGCTGAGAACAGTCACTACCAATCCAGCCAGGATAACACTGACAAGATCTGTCAATTGGATTACAAGTCCCATTGTTGGTGCATGTGCAAACGCCTGCACAGTTCTTCCCAAATCTGCCACTCGGACAGACTGTAGAAAACAATGGTAGAATATATGAATCATCTGCTATCTTACAGCATATTTTGGTCACTGTTGTTTCTTTTTATTTTGAGTAAAAATATTGATATCATAGAGATATCTAAGATTGGAAAAGTTAGCTAGTTCCATGAATGCTGCAGGACTGTCTGCACACCAGGTAGGAAGAAGTGACACAAAAAAACTTTGGGAGGGAAAAAGGGAAGATTCATCCTTTGATTTTTAACGTGAAGGTGAAGGTTCCCCTTGACATTTAGTCCAGTCGTGTCCCACTCTAGGGCATTGTGCTCATCCCCGTCTCCAAGCCATAGAGCCAGTGTTTGTCCCTAGACCGTTTTCATGGTCACATGGCCAATGTGACTAGACAAGGAATGCTGTTACCTTCTCACCGTGGTGGTACCTATTTATCTACTCGCATTTACATGCTTTCAAACTGCTAGGCTGGCAGGAGCTGGGACAAATGAGGGGAGCTCACTCCGTCGCATGGATTCGATCCTACGACTGCTGGTCTTCTGACCTTGCAGCACAGAGGCTTCTGCAGTTTAACCCACAGCACCACCATGTCCTTAATAACAGATAACTCTTCTCAAATTTTTGTGTTTTGATTCAGCCACAGTGTCACCACTGGTGGATGCAAACAGGCCTGATGATTCACCTGGTGATACCAGAAGGACAAACAAGTGGGTCCTAGATCAAATCAAGCCTGAACTATCTCTGGAGGCAAAAATGTTGAAACTGAGGCTATCTTACTTTGAGCACATTGTGAGAAAGCAGGATTCCTTGGAAAAGAAAATAATGCTGGGAAATGTGGAAGGCAGCAGAAAAAGAGGAAGACTAAATATGAGATGAATTGATGTCAACAAGATCTTAGCAGGGTAGCTAAGGACAGGACATTTTGGAGAACACTCATTCATAGGTTTGCCATGAGTCGGAAGTGTCTTGACAGCACATAACAACAACAACAACAACAACAACAACAACAACAACAACAACAACAACAACAACAACAACAACAACAACAACAACAACAACCAGAACAGCATTGAAACCTAATACCAAAACAATCATATCTGTAAGAGTGAAGATATTCAAAGACAACATTAATCTGAAGTGGTACATCACACAGGAAGCAATTTCAATACATATTAACTTTGCATTATTTCTGAGATGTTTCTCTTTCCTCAGCTAGAAAAGCAACCCAGGAGAAAACAAGAGACAGATAAGCATACTGACTAACAAGTGAAACATTGTTGCACACTGTTTAATACAATGTTCCATATGTATTTGCTGCAGATTTATGTACGTTCTTTGAAAGACAGTCATTCAATCAAAAGACAGCTACAAATTATTTACCACTCTGTTTTCCTATTTCAGCAGCTAAAATTTGTATCACATATGTCAACCTGCCCAAACATGCACCTTCTCAGGAGCAGTAAAAAGAGAACACCAACAGCTCATTTTTAAAGAAGTGAATAATTGTATTTAATTATACAATAAACTCTCTGCATAATAAGCGAAAACGTGTTTAAAGACTGCAAATTCAACCTCCGAAGCTGTCACTTTGATAGCAATAGGGAAAATGAAAAAATGTTATAGCTGGTATAAGAGTATATTATAATTTGTACCTTCATTGCAAAGAGCACCTGTAAATCCAGGTAGACAATCACAAAGTCCAGTTACATGATGGCAGGGACCACTGCTGTGCACACACTGAGGGCAGGCTTGGCTACAGCGATGACCATAGAATCCAGGAGAGCAAACTGAAAGCAGAAAGATGTCATCATATTCAGAGTCCATCAACATAACAATGACAGATATATAAATATTGCCTTAGATTGAGTTGGGAAGACCTGGAAACATATGAATACCGGATGTGGTTTACGCAGGTCCTTTGCTTCATATAGTCGAAGGTACGGCTGGTACGTTAAACAAGCAGTTTCACCACTTGATTAGGAGTTAAAGATGTTAAAATATAAAATATGAAAAGCAATCTTTTGTCATTAATATTATGACACCATTTACATCATCTCCTCCAGTTATCAGTAGGTCAGTACTTCCTCTTCTAGCAGGACAAGATGGATTCACTGCAACCTGCCAGTTCCCCACAGAATACAGTACAAGTATAAAGTAGGGCAGTGAACTGCAGGACAAGATGGATTCACTGCAACCTGCCAATTCCCCACAAGTATAAAGTAGGGCAGTGAACTGCAACTCATTTTACACCAAATATACCAAACCCCCTTTTCTTTACAGATACATCACCATTTAGAGTGACAGAGGAAGAAAAGAGTCTATTGGGCATAATTTCTTTCTTCACAGTTCTAACCTCTTTTGCATTTTTTTCCATGACAAATTAGTATATTAAGCCATGGTCCAAGTTTAAGTGCCTGTTCTTCAGCAGCAATTAACATTTACAAAACTAACTTTTGCGTGTAAATCATTTGAGTCATTTAGAATTCAGCCAGCTAGATGCGTGCTTGGAACAGGTTTCCCAGTCAAGGAACCTTTCCACGGATACCCATTGCTTGCCAAGTGAAATTGTAAGTCAGTCAGAAATTCTCCTCCTCTGTTACAGTCAGAGCTGTTTATACTTGTACTGAACATTGTGACTACTTGTCTTATTTGATGAAGACTCTGCTTTTTTCATGAGTTATTTCGGTGTTATAGTGTTGAGAGCCACTGTTTTATATTAGGTTTATGATAGATTGTTATATCATTTGCTTTTACAATCCCTTTGCATTAACTGAATAATTAATTCCAAAACCAATACAGATTGTGGCCAACCTTGGAACAACCTGTCAAGGACTATTGTTATGCTGCTTCAATTCACTTCAATAGGGTCTCTCTGTGTGAGCAATGCTTGATAGATTGCATATAACTGGATGCTCATTATGTGTTGCTAATTAAGAAACATCAGATTCTATATTCAAGAACACAACAGAGTATTATATATCCATCCTCGTTTGACCACTGCTTCAATTCCCACAAAATGGCTCACATTGCAGTTTACAGTAGACAGCATGAAATGCATAAAATAATTAAATTGTACTATAATATAATAATTATTTTTTACAACATTAAAAGTCAAGGTGTGAGAATCAGGGCTTGTATAAAATGCAGAACTGAACAACATCTGTAGGATATCAAACCAAAATGCCAAGAAGTGTACACACTTTTGAATTCAACCTCTTTGATAGGGTAGAAAGTACAAAAAAAAAAAAAGAATGGTTGGGGAAGAAACATCTATATCCAAGAAACATTTAAAAATAAGCCTAGATGTCACAGTCATAAGCCCAGCAGTAAGATTCTGTCCCAGGACATAGAATGAAGACCAAATGACCCACTGGTAGGTATACAAGTGTTGTCATACCTAACAACAGATACTGTGAGCTACTGTAGTAACTGTGAGACCCGAGGCAAGGCTATAGAAGCGCTCGCCGGAGTGTCGTCCTCCTTTAAGAGAGAGGAGACTCAAATGGAATCTATGGCTACTCGCGTCACGGTCAGACATCAGGGTATAGACACCTGTGATTTGGAACAGGGTGTGAGGAGACTGTCAGTGGCTACCCAGACAGGGATAGAAAAGGCAGGAACACGGATGGGGGAGCGACCGTTGGTAGAGGCGGGACATGGGGATATAAAAGTAGAGCGAGACAACTTACCATGGGGGTGGGAATTGATATGGGTGG